CCTAAACTCACAAAAATTTCCACTCTACCCCCATCACCAAAACAGAAAGTTCCACTCTCTGTTCCTACCGATATACCACCTATTCATACTGAACCTACTTCTCTATCCACTTCAACCATCAATACCTCTGTTCCTGTCTCAACTACACCCATCTCAACTCCTCTTTAAACAGAATCCATCAACACCACCATTCCCAAAATCCCAATAGAAGTCAATGTATCTGATAAAGGGGCTACTAGTGTGATTGATACTCCTGTTACCAATATACCACCAACCCCAACCCCATCCTCTAACTCTGGTGCTACTCTTGGTGGAGATGACGAAGATTATGATTCTTTGTATTACAGTCCTTACCGGCTTCCAACTGATAATGATGCTGATGCTCCTGTCACCAATCAACATCTCCAGGACATCAATGAAAAGTTGGACCGACTGCTTGCAGATAGCCAAGCTTATGGCAGTGTTGTCTTAAAAGCTTTCGTGGAGACTACCATTCAGCAATACACAGAAGCCATTGATAAATCAACAGCAGCAGTTGATAAATCAACCGCTTCTTGTTCAAAGGCGACAGAGGAGGTTACTAAGGTTGTTCACACAACTCATATTTTCCTTGATTCGCTTAAAGCTCATGCTGATACAAATGCAGCCAAATATCAAGCTTCTGTGGACTCCTTTTCTCAAACTCTTCAAGATGAAACTACAAAGTTTGAAGCCCTTCGTACTGATCTCAAAACAGAATCCACATCTTTTCTTCAATCTTTGGATTCTCGTTTTGCTTCTCTTACTGCAGAAAGTACATTGAAGGAGGACTTGATCAAACACCAAGCAACTACTGATCTACAAAAAGTACAACTGGCCCAGGCAGAAAAGGAGATCTCTCTTCTCAAAACTCAAGGGGAGTTTATCAAAGTTGTGCTGGTGATGTGAAGAATATCTTGACTACTCTTCTTGAAGCTCATGATCCCATCTTGACCTTGACTATCCGGAAGCATCTCCAGACCAAACTCCTTCCTGCAATTACTATTCTAAGTGAAATGAAGGGTGTCTCGGAGAAGGTCTTTCTTCAGAAACAAGGGGGAGAAGAGAGTACAGTCAAAACAGAACCGAAGGTTAATTTAGCTTCGGTTTCTGGAAAGAAAGTTCAAGCAGATAGTGACTCTGATACTGAAGAGACTATTGCTGAAGCTCTTAAAAGAAAGAAGAAGGATAAAGAGCTTGATGAAACTTTGAAGGTGGCGAAAGAAGCAGAAGCAAGAAAGAGAAAGAATAAGGAATAGGAGGATGTCTTGCAATGCAAGAAGACTCTTTTTCCAGAATGGGACAGAGACGCACTCATCACTCAGGCGATTGAGTTTCCTTCTATATACTGGTTGGAACCGATTGCTTCGTTTGATTGTGACAATTCAAAGGACTCGCAGTTTGACATGCCAATCACAAAAAGAGCATTTACCTTTCATTGCTTTGAAGTCACTGCTGAGGTTCCTTTTCCCAATCTGAAGGTTGACAGAGAGTTAGTTGATTTTTACTTGAAGAATGGTCAACCACAGTACTTGACTTGGAGTGCACAGAATATTACAAAAGTCAAGGTACTGAAATCATCACATACTGGGAGATTTGTAAATGTAAACTTCAAGATCAACCGTGGTACTGCAAACACGGAATATTTCT